GTCCAGAGTTTTGCAAATATCTCAGCAACATTGTGGTTGTATTTCGCTTAGTAACCTGCCATGAAAATTATAGAAGGCAGGAAACAAAACGTTAAAACATTGTGATTTCAACTACAGTCATAGCTTAACTGGGTTCTATGCCGATTTGCGCTCCCCAGATCAACCCCGCTGACGGGTGATTGCTGTGGCAAAAAGATCAATAGAAATAGCTGAGAGACGTGCGAAACAAAGGACCCGCATGGTGTGGTGGTGAACGCGTTACTCCACGGAAAGGATAATAGCGCGTTCGTTCCCCACCATAGACACCTGCGGTCCAGAGTTTTGCAAATATCTCAGCAACATTGTGGTTGTATTTCGCTTAGTAACCTGCCATGAAAATTATAGAAGGCAGAAAACAAAACGTTAAAGCAAACAGTTTTGTCGAATAAACGGCAAATGTGTTCACGTACTGCGAGAAGTTCTCTTCGAACGGATCTCATAGTGCGATTTTTACTCCAACTAACGAGGTCGCATGTTCTGTAGGCTCGAATTTGATGGCTAATTCGAAAACGTTGCACAGTGAAAGGTGATTAAGAAGCATTTCAAATTGCACATACTTCATAGACTCCGAAGATGTGGCCGCTATAGCTCAGTCGGTTAGAGCGTGGGTCTAATAAGCCCAACGTCGCAGGTTCGACCTCTGCCGGCGGCAAAGAGTTTTGTCGAATAAACGGCAAATGTGTTCACGTATTACGAGAAGTTCTCTTCCAACGGTTCTCCTAGTGCGCTTTTCACTCCAGCTGAGGATTGCGCACGCTTAAAAGGCCCGAATTTGATGGCTAAACTGAAAACGTTGTATAGTGACTGGTGATTAAGAACCATTTTAAATTACACGCACTCCAAAATCTACGAATATGGATACGTCATAGATCAGTCGGTTAGAGTGTGGGTCTAATAAGCCCAAGGTCGCAAGTTCGACCCCTGCTGGCGGCAAAGAGTTTTGTCGAATAAACGGCAAATGTGTTCACGTATTACGAGAAGTTCTCTTCGAACGGATCTCCTAGTGCGCTTTTCACTCCAGCTGAGGATTGCGCACGCTTAGAAGGCCCAAATTTGATGGCTAAACCGAAAACGTTGTATGGTGACTGGTGATTAAAAAGCATTTTAAATTGCACGTACTCCATAGTCTTCGACAATGTGGCCGCCATAGCTCAGTCGGTTAAAGCATGGGTCTAATAAGCCCGATGTCGCAGGTTCGACCACTGCTGGCGCCAACGCGTTTTGTCGTATAAGCGGCAAATGTGTTCACGTATTACGAAAAGTTCTCTTCGAAAGGATCTCCTAGTGCAATTTTTACTTAAACTGAGGAGTGCGCACTTTCAGAAGGCTCAAATATGGTGGCAAAAGCAAAGACGTTCTATAGTGACTTGAATTAGAGAACCCTTTTTAATTGCACGTAGGCGATAGCCTTCGAGCATGTGGCAGCCATAGCTCAGTCTGTTAGAGCGTGGGTCTAATATGCCCAAGGTCGCAGGTTCGACACCTGCTGGCGGTACTAAGTTTTGTCAAATAAACGGCAAATTTGTTCACGTATTAGGAGAAGTTCTCTTCGAAAGTATCTAGTGCGATTTTTACTCCAACTAAGGATTTCGCACGTTCAGAAGGCTCGAATTTGATGGCTAAAACGAAGACGTTGTGTAATGATTGGTAATTAGAAAGTATTTTAAATTGTACGTACTCCATAGTCTTCGAACATGTGGCCGCCATAGCTCAGTCGGTTAGCGCGTGCGTCTAATAAGCCTAAAGTCGCATTACGAGAAGTTCACTTCGGAAGGATCTCCTAGTGCGCTTTTTACTCCAACTGAGGAGTTCGCATGTTCAGTAGGCTCGAATTTGATGGCCAAAACGAAGATGTTGTGTAATGATTGGTAAGAAGTATTTTTAATTGCACGCAGGCGATATGCTTCGAACATCTGGCCGCCATAGCTCAGTCTGTTATAGCGTTGGTCTAGTATGCCGAAGGTCCCAGGGTCGACCTCTGCTGGTGGCAACGAGTTTTGTTGAATGAACAGCAAATGTGTTCACGTATTACGTGAAGTTCTCTTCGAAAAGATCTCCCAGTGCGATTTTTACTCCAACTGAGGATTTCGCATGTTCAGTAGGCTCGAATTTGATGGCTAAACCGAAAACGTTGCATAGTGCCTGGTGCTAAGGAGGTATTTTTAATTTCACGTAGGCGACAGCCTCTTTACTCTCGATGTTGCAGCGACCATGGCTCTGTCGAGTAGGGCGTGGGCCTTATAAGCTGTGAAGGTGATAGGCTCGACCCACGCTGGCGGCACGGAGTTTTGTCGAATAAACGGCAACTGTGTTGACACATCGCGAGAAGTTCTCTTCGAAAAGGACCTCCTTCCGCGCCTTTTACTCTAACTGAAGGTTTCGCACTTCAAGTAGGCTTCGATTGGATTGCTAAGAGGTCAACGTTGTCCATCAATTGGTTTTTAGGAGAATTTAGTGTTTCACGTAGGCGATAATGTGCTGCTCTCGAAATTACGACCACCATAGCAGAGTCGATTAGAGCGTGAGTCATATAAGCCTAAGGTTGCATTTTTGATCCATGCTCGCGCCATGTTCTTTTGTCGCCTAACCGACATTTGTGCTCCAACGTTTCGAGAAATCCTCTTCATGAAAGTCCTCCTAGTGCAGTTTTGGCTATCTATCTGTGGAATTTTTAAGCACAACAGTACTGATAGTGTGGTTTATCTCTATCTGATAAGCACGTTGCGGCGAGGCTTTAAAGACCTAAACGTGGTGTTCTCTTTATTTCTCTTTGTGGTTTCGCGTGGTCGGCCTCATCTCATTAATGCATATCTCAACCCTAGTATTAATGATTGAAAATTCTGTGAAGGTGCGTATTCTTTTCTCTCGCTGGTTAGTAATTTTCTCAAAGAAAACGGATACTTTTCTGGTTCATTCAGGCTCTATAGTGTCTACAGCAATTTCATGTATTCATATACTTTATTCAATTTCTTCAAACTTGCTTTAGACGGATCTACGCCGAAATCGAGGCTCAGAAAGAAGTTTGAAGTTAGACGGAGACGTTTTCAGGATCCACCAGGAGATACTGTGCTGCTCACCAGTCCTTACCAGGCTAATTGTTGATGGTAAGCATTAAAGTTCAATTCTAGGTGGTATGGTCAGTGGGAAACAGCGGCGCCTGCCACTACCCCGTTACCGAATAATCCCCTCGTCAATAGTTATCATGCTCAAAAATTCGCCTAAAATAGAGACGAATTCGAAATCTCCATCCGGAAGCCTAGTTCAGAGAGCACCAACCCACGTCAGACTTTAGCTTTCTATTCATCGCTACACTCCCTCCAAAAGTAGAAACAAAGTATCCTGCAAAAAACGATGCAGCTTTTTAAAATTCTTGCGAGAGTTGAGCCAACCGAACCACTCGAGTAGACGACAGGTACCGAAAAGCTCCTGGTAAATTCCACTTGCGGTTGTTAAAGATTTTTATTTCGTGTTGATCCACCGACTGACAACGGTGGATGTTTCGACTTCTATTTACCCCTATTCTTTTTCAATGGCAGTTTATGTGAAACGCAACCACAAGAATGCTGAGATACAAGCAAACCTCGGAACGTCCGGTGATGATGGATGGTTCCACAATGAATTTCTTAACCCAACATCGATTCACTGCAACATTGCTGGGAAAGTGCTTACCAAATTCCATTTCGGACTCTACTGCTGCGCATATAACAGAAGTTGGAGGTGTCCAGCAATACAGACGAATATCTCGCCTTAGGCAAACAAACTCTTCGATTCCTTCGTGGTGGTAACTCGCTAGCAGACTTGTCTGGAAGGCTCACCATATCATTCAGGCACCACAGAGGCACTATGGCCCAAAGATGTATTCAACAACCTCTAAAGATGTTTAATGAGGTCCAGTGAATGTATGCATATACCTCAGCGATTGATCAAAGCCAAATGATTATTCTTTATAGCTAATAAAATTTTGACATTTGACAAACTTTGTGCTCTAGATTAGAAACGACTTTCCAGCACTACAATTTAAATACCGCGTCTCTTGTCTAGGTATTAACAAGCACTCGAAATACTTGGATGCTTCAGATTTATAGCAACCACAAGTGGTTCCAATAGCACATCAATTAGAGTACAAAGTTAATTAGTCGAAAAATTGTAACATACCTTAGAAAGACGTTCTATGTAAACCATGGAAAACGAAAAAAGCCAGCAGATTATATCAGGATATTCCAAACAGCAAGTTCTAGTCGATCCCCATTCGAACCTAATTGCTGATCATTAAAAATACTGCTAAACAGACTCGAAAAATCAGACTCGACTACTACTAGACTACTTTTCCTAACCTAAACAAACCCATGATTTACTCACTTGAATACTTGGAGAGCACGTCATTATTGGTTGTGCGGACCACAGCAAAATTTCTGCTTTTTTGGACTTGCGTTAGTTTAGCCATCTTTGCCTGGAGTCCGGAGGATAACCTGGCCATAGACTGTTCCAGGTTATAAGAGGGAGAATGGCCACCATGCGACCAGTTTGATAGCAGGACGGTGGTGGAGTTTGCTATTGGTTTGCTTTCAGCTGGGCTTCCTGATGAAAACGCCGAACCACTTCTCAGCTCGAGAGGCCCTGATAGGTGGATTAATCCCACCGCTGTACATATCAGCCCGACACCGGGGAACATTTCTCCCAGTCACTATGAGGCGGTAAACCATTGGGAAGCACTGTCCATGTCCATAAATCCATAAAACTGTTAATGATATGCCATCATAGTTTCAATAATAATAGTAGGAGAATTTAGGAATTTGTATGAAACCGCAGATGACTAACCATACCTTATCAACTTATGTCCGTTAGAATTTACGCTTTTAGCCAATGTGGCGTCGTAACGTGAACATTTTTTAACTACCACAAATGACTTGTTTCTATGTGCTCCAACCATGTTACACTTGGATCCTCTGAAAGCAGTTCAAAGGAATTTCACACCATGTGGACTCAATATTGTAATTGAATGGATGTATGGGACAAGAATTGAACTCTCTATCGATAAAGTTTGTTTCTGCACCCTTTTAAATGCAATTTATCAACAGAGTGAATATACCTAGCATCAACTTTGACTATTAACGTCTTACTCTGTTTCATTTTATTCATCAAAGGTTTTACAAAGTTCGTTTTGTAGCTGACAGACGCCTTGGCAGCCGCTTTTGCACTAGAAATCTATGACATGGTGGATGCTATCGAGCAAGCAGTGTTGACATGTTCTAGTAAGTGAGTTATCGCCACCCCACTACTCCACAAGTTATCAAATTGAGTCATAAAAGTAAACGACGACAAATAAAATGTATTAACAATGTGCACCACATTATTTATAACCCAGGCCACAATATAAGATATTGTGTACCCAAAATCTCTTACACGTAGGGGATCTCCAGTAGGTTAGTTGCTAGGTTATGTGGAGAGTTCAAAGACGATGGATCAAGTGATTGGAATTTGGTTCGACGTCGCCTAAAAAAAACATACTTTGGTCTACCTGGAAAGACCTGACAAGAAAAATAGAAATAACAAATAACAATCCACTCGTGAGTAAGCTCGGCTTCAAGGCAGGGCTAGGCAGGTTACATCCAATTACGGTCTCTTCAAAAATGGTAACAGTAGACAGCTAAAAATGTGATGCTGTTCTTGTCCCTCAAGCAACCTTTACCACACAACGAAGATAGAAACCACTTTTGCTCATTCGTAGCCGCTGATGTATTAAAGATCACGCGAGCAACAGGGCTACGCAAATCTAATAATTTCAATGATACTGAGATATTTGCAAAACTCCGGACCGCAGGTGTCTGCGGTGGAGAACGAACGCGAGAAAGAACTATTGTCCTTTCCGAGGAGTAACGCGTTCCCAACCACACCATGAGGGTTCTTCGCATCGCCTGTCTCGTACATACCCTGCCATTAAAAAGAATAGGCAGTAAATAATAAGTTAAAATTGTGATTATACTTGCAGCCTCAGCTTAACTGGGTTCGTTACCGATTTGGGCTCCCCCGATCAATCCCGCCGACGGGTGATTGCTGATGGCCGAAATCGATAGAACTAGCTGAGAGACAGGCGAAACGAAGACCCGCATGGTGTGGTGGTGAACGCGTTACTCACCAGAAAGGACAATAGCGCGCTCGTTCCCCACCGCATACACCTGCTGACCGGAGTTTTGCAAATATCTCAGCATCATTGAATTTATATTCCGCGATATACCTTGCCATCAAAAAGAGTAGGTACTAAATAAAACGGTTAAGATTATAATGATAACATCGTATGGAATGTCGGTGACACCATATTTGCTTTATGACTAAAAATAAAAATAATTCAGAAGATCTTTTCACCATGACGGTTCTTCTGCACCACGTCGAAAATTTCACCCCTGAAACCAAGCGAAAACTACTTATGGTATGGAATATTCCATCTTTCTTGAAATATTCGTAATTAAAGTAATGTTTGTTTACAGAATGGCTTCATAGCCGTACAGAAACTTCTCATCCCTATTTGCAGGAATCTGCTGCTGCTATTGAAGAGATCTCCACAATGGCGCCATTTCTTGCTCTACCATCACCAATATTCAAAAAAATTGTAAAGGTGTGTATCATTAAGAGAAATGCATTACGGTCAGCTTTCTGAAATGTTATCTGCAGTGAAGGAGTTTTTTGCAATATACTAACATTGACCATCTTTAGAAAGCCATCAACAGTTTGAAGAGATCTCAACGTCGACCATTCGGTGTAATCAAATCAATCGTTTTTTGGGAAGCCGAGAATTCCAGTAATAAGGTGAGGACTTTGATTGCAATGCCAACCAAATGAAACAAAACAAACCGCTCGAACATAGGAGATACTGATCAGTTCATTACATTGTCTTCCAAACAAAAGCGGCTATAACCTCTGCACACCACTAGTACAATGTTCAATCTGACAGGTTGCCGTGTTGCTACTGAAGCAAATTCCACTTAACGGCCTTTCGAACGTCGAGATGAACAGGTTGTATGAGATGGCACGTGAATTCGGACTCGAAAATCTGGCCGAACTGATTCTCTGTCAATATCGAACACTAAACACTTCGTAAGTCCAAATACGACAGTTTTTAGCGTTAATTAAAACCACGTATACAAAATATTCATGAAAATGAAAAAAGTTGTGAAGAAACTCTGTCGACTTGTTCTGGTCAAAAATACACTCGTAATATTCAGAAAGAGGATAGCACAGTGCTAGTGACAACGTTCGTCACACGGAATAGTTTGACCTCCCAATCAAGCCACCAAGACTGCTCTCTCTCTTTCTCTCTACGGGGTTGGGTCATTGCTACCAGACTTGTCTGAGATGAGCTAAACCTCTCCAATCACCGTGGAAACGACCTAGATCGGCTATTGCAGCATTCCAAGGAGAACCGACTCAACCAGTATGCAAGGACATTCATGATGAACGTGAAAAATCCTCAAGCAGAAGATGACCACATATGCAAAAAGTTCGAAAACCATCGTAGATAGCGGATACGAGGAAACGAATCGAATGCAAGAAGTGCTGGCGTTATGTCATGTTAAAAAAATATTCGAAAAGATTAGCACCTCACTCTTAATATTAACATCCAACTGGCATTTTCGAAATGTCACCACATAATTATTATTTACTTGTGAAAAGGAAAGAATAATAGTTTTGAATCACGAACACTATTGGAAACCTCCAAGTTAATATTAAGGAATGCAGTAGAACGTTTGTTCTATGAAGAACGGATTAATAAGGCTGTCGCATTTGCCGTCGAACGAAATTCTGTACGGTGAGTTACAGTACGAATCGCACAAAAATTCTACGATCTTCTCCATACGAGTGTGTTTCAAATGTTCCATTAGATACAGCAAACCATTGTCAAGAAGATAGCCCGAGAACGCAACCTCACACAGGCACTGTCCAGGTGTACTTACTTACTTGGATACTTGGACGGCCCCTTCTCACTGGTTGTGCGGGCACCAGCACAATCTCCATCTATCGGAGTTTTGCTGGTTTAACCACTGCGTTCCGCTGGAGTCCCGAGGTCAGCCTGCTCGAAGTCTGCCCCAGGTTGTCACCACTACAAGTAGTCGCAGCTCTTGTTGATCAGCAGGAGATTTGCCACCATGCGACTTTGATATCTGGACGGTGGTGAATCCTGGTATTGGTTTACTCTTAGCTAGGCTTCCTAATGGAAACGCCGGACTCAGTTTGGGAGGCCCTGCCAGTGGATGAATCCCCGCTATGCATAGCACACCTCCCTGCCACGAAGAAGCGGTAAACCGTTAGAATGTCTAGGTATACCAGTTTTAGAAAAAGAAACTTCTACATGAATGAATTTAGGGGAACAGCATTTTATAATGACAGAATTGCTGCTGGTAAGAATTCCACAGAAACTAAGCAGCACAAAGGTGAATCGAAATTTAAAGGAGCCAAAGGTAAAGGTTTGAACTTTTGTTCTTCAAATCTCATTGAAGTTCCACAAAGTAGTGAAGCATACAAAACCACCGACTAAGAAAGTTTGCGCTTCATAAACTCAAGTAATAACTGACCGATATATAGACAAGATGTTGAGAAGTAAAATGTTTCTAGAACAACAACCAAGTACACATCGTATCCTCACCTAATCTAACTTCACCCTCTCTTAGGTATATCCTGGGAGCCTAGTTCACAAGATCCACAGGCTCTTCAAAAAGCACTGCATAACTTGAATGAACGAATAAGTTTCGGCATCGTTCCACTGGACAAGTCTGTAAACGACTTACATATTGAGGTGAATAAGAGCATTTAAATACATTTTCAGCCTTAAAATTGACCAGTCCCCTGTTTCTAAAGTACCAACGTTGGGCAGAAATTACGAAAAACTCCGAACACGATTTATGTTTGCATGCATAGTTGTGAGCATGTCAAAACTTTAAACTTGCCCCAATTCACGCTTTGTCAAGACAACGACACTCCTGTCTAACGATTAGCCTCGCATCGCCCATGGGAGGATGTCTTCTTAGAAATTTCACATTTTGCTCCTACAGACTATTGTTGTTGAAGAGAGAGTGGGCAGTTAATTGGCACAGATAAGCCTCTGCTTCGAAGAACTGCCACTGCAGGCTGTGTTCAGCATCATTTTTGATAAGCAATTTTTTGTTTTCCAATTGTCAGATGCTACAATGACTTTTGGGTATCGTTTCGAATGAGAGGATGTCAGAACTAAAAGGAAAAGCATCGTAATATTGGTCGTAAAACTTATGCAACTTCATTAAATTCTGACAGCAGTATGGTTGCATAGTTGGCGACTGTTCTTCATGCATAAGAGTTGGATATACACCAAAAACATAAGAGGGTGTTTAAAAGGACATGGAGCATACATGAGAAGCGCAGAAATCTTTCCAAAAACGGAAGGTGACGGGAGCTAGAAAAACTGCCGGAGTGACCCATGTGACACCTATAGGTGTCATAGTGAACGCAGTGAAAATTAGACGTCTTCCACTGCGCAACAAATCCGAAATTAGGGTCATCCCGAGGGTGTTAACGTAGGCGTCTGAAACCGCACCCTCTGACTACGTAAGCTGCATGAAAAGGTCACTGGGTGTTACCAGACAAATTACCGGAGGAATGATTCTGGGAGCATTTTGCATTATGTAAGCGGAAGAGGAGAGCTGCATCCAAGCTGACGAACATGGTTCACAGATGCTGCCACAGTACAAGCAGCTGACAAAAGCAGTCAGTGAAAAGGTCCTTCGGATACACAGCGGGAAACCAGAAAGCCACTAACCAACTTGCCAAATTTCATTACAAGAATATTAGAGACAACGCTCTTCGAGTCCCTCTAGCCAACACTAGAATTCCTACTATTGAAAAACCATTGAACAATTCTTGCACGCTGCATAGGAAAATGTAAACTCCGTGGTGACCTATTGGAATCACTTGTTGGTCAGCTCTACGACGAATAACACAAGTGAACAAAGGATGCCACCTTCGAAGAATTGTAATATTTCACGACTTCACAATGTGTCCATTTATTTCCGTCGTACTTTAAGAAAACTTACTCAGCTTAATAAGCTACACTTTTTATCCATTCATTCTCAATGGCTGATTTCCACACTGACGTCTTCCCTCAATACAGCCGTATTAGGAAACTCTAACACTAACTTAATGATCAGACTTTGATCATCAAACTATTATCATATCAAGCGCAAAACTAAGAATACGAATACACAGTTTAGAATAGGAATCAGTATAGATGACTAACCAACCAACGAATGCGAACAAGATGTGGCGGAGGAAAAGACGAACACCTCGGACCACGCAGAACGAAAGGAGTGCTAAGAAAATTTACTGAGTGAGATGAGCTACACAGCTGTAACTCCAGTACAACACAGTATAGCACAATATTTAACCAATGTTGATCACACTCCAAACATTCCTCTTGCTTCTTAAAGACTTGGCAATGTCATGGCTGGTCCTCAGAATAGATGCAATGACAAGACGTTCCCGACGTACCAGAACGCAGCATTGTCTTTAATGATTGAAGTACTTATTTTTATTTCTTTATTTTATTTCATTTGACCCGTCTTCTCGTCCACTGCGCGGATCTCAGCAATTCTCACATCCATTTCGTTTCCTGGCATCCATCATTCACGAAAATCTCCCAAGTTTCTACGTGTGGCTTCGGTTGCTGCTTTAGGATTTTCATTTCATCTCGAATGTCATAGAATGCTGGTCGAGCAATTCTCACTGGAGACCTGAGATAACCGGGCTGCAGCGTTCCCAATTGCATTGTAGTGATTTTTACATAGGCACGTCGGGTAAAAATTACTCAACCCCAGAAAGATGAGTGGCTTGGTTGGTCCAGAGCGGAATCGAACTTGAAAAATTGAAATATACGGGACTTAAAGGTTCTTTATATATTGATGTAATTATTAAGTCCAGCAACAACAATCAAGAGTTCGACTCTTATTAAGTATTGACCTGTGGCCCACTTAGCATCCTATGTAATCCCTATTTCAAATCGAAAATGAGAAATTCTCGTTTTTTAACCATCATTAGGAATAGCACTAGGATACAATAATAACACATTTTCATGCAACTAATGGTGACGGCCAAATCCCAAGTATCAAAAAATCCCTCAAAACTTGTAACCTATAGAACAACATCAATAAGTTTGAATCCAACCACAGTACATGAATGCCTAATCTATTCTATCTAGGTTACCTACAAGAAATCAACAGATGCTGCTATGGAAGAAGCCGTCAAGCTGTTCTTCGATATTGAAGTAGACTCACCTTATCCCAAGAAATGAAACCTATCTCTTTGTCATCAAAAACCATGACAATGTTATCAAACTCAGCTACCTAAGTACTATGGTAAAGATTTCACTACACTTCAAAGGTCTCTCTGTAGATGGATTTTTCTACACAGATACACCGTAGTTACAACCAAAGAAATAAATGTATTCGTCAAACAAGTCCAAACACTCACACCTCTCCGCCGAGTTTCAAGCAGAGTTTGGAAAATTTCACTTGAATGGACCGTTCTGACCCTATTACAATATGGTAAATCGGAGAAAACATCGGAAAAACAAAACGGAATCGATCATGTTTACAGGAAATATGCGTACGTTCATAAGCTGACATATCTGACAAAAGCATCTCGTATATTTGTGAGAAGTTAATTGATCACAACGTTCAAAGTGTCAAAAACTATATAAGAATTAAACTTAGTACATTGTTAAATATTTCAACACCTCAAGAGAAGCTATGAACATCATGAGCAGGAGTAGGAAGCGTCGACAGAACCTAAAAGTGTGATCATTTCCCAGATAACCTGCAACTTAAAACAAGGAATTGTTAACCATGTTCTTCTCCTTTCCTTTTGCTGGATATTTTTATAGACAAAATCTGGCGGAATTATACAATCACTAATTTATCCAAAAAATATCTGAAAACGAATGGAGTTTACTGAGTACTTTCTATGCCATGTGAATAAAGCATTCTAAAAAAACACACAGCTTGTTAAACACAACGCCTCGATATATATATATATATATATATATATATATGTATATATATGTATTATATATATATATACATGCACATATAATTATGTATACATATATACATATACATATATATATATATGCATGCATCAGGGCGCGTGTGGCGCAGTGGTCGGAGGCAGCTGCACTACACACGGTATCCATCCCCACAAACCAGGCTCACCAAGCCTTCCACTGCTCCGGAGTGGGCAAATTGGTACCAGGCCTGTCTGAGAGGATAATAGCACCGGCTCGTTACATCGGTAGGCCACCGCGAGTTATCGCATAGAGCTGATATGCATTCAAACACCTCTAACGATGCCTATGAACATATTCAAATATAGATACTGTAAAAGATTGAAGGTGAAAATATAACATAATTAGCAAGGCCATTAAACGAATTCCCTTCAGAAATAGGACCAAAACAATCATGAAAGAAGAAACTACAAAGGAATTAGTAAACAGTGATAGCACAGGACATGTTTCAGGTACCTGCAATTAGTTTAGCAAAATGTGGAGACTGTAACCAAGCAACAATCAAACTTCTCCCCATTTTTTTACTGGTTCTTGTGGTAAAAAAAAGGATAAAAGGACAGAGCTCTTGGTGTTGACCAATCCCTGAGGAATGCGCCAAGCATTCGATTTCATTAAGCATCGTTAGAGGTGACTGAACGCATATCTGACCTATACAATGAGTCGCAGTGGCCAACCGATGTACCGAATCAGTGATGACATCCTCCTGGACAAGTCTGGTACCAACATGCCGACCCCGGAGGGATGGAAGGTCTGGTGATCCTGGGAAACTGGATAAATCCCATGTGCATTGCAGGGAGGCTATAACATTTCGCTACGCGCGTCACTCTCGAAGTGATAAGATGCCGAAAAGTATTTGCAGCTAAGCAACATAATCATTCCGAATGAGATAACATGTAGAAGCTGTGTAATAAAATTGAAAACCAAGAGATTTTCTTCGTATTTTTGTTGAGTAAACGCGAGCTGTTACTATTCTTTGTTCACGATTAAGCTGACGTTTCGGCGGATTTCGCCTTCTTCAGAGTCTGGAAAGGTCAATTTGATAGCAATCCACTCGGCCAGACGCCTCCATAACCAAACAAAGAAACTCCAAACCACGATTTCAATCACATTGAACACAGCTTTGCACACTCACCGCTTTCTATGAGGTCTCCACTAAGTATGTCACGTAGAGACCA